CATCATTTAGTAACATCTGAAAAAATTCTAATGAAATGTTAGTGAAGGGAAAATGAAATGAAGACATATTATTTGGTAAAACGTTTGTTGTACAAAGTCAGGATTTAAAGTGCATATGACAGGTTTCATGAATTTCACCAAAACACAAATAGTCTTGGGACGAGACAAGACAAGATTTTTAAGCATAATTTGTAAATAATAATAAAAACAACAATCCATTTCACAATTTTGACATTACAATTTTTTTGTTTATTTTTTGTAATAATTTTGTGGTCTATAGTAGGGGTGTGCTAAAATATCGATACATAGATACGTATCGATATTTTTCAAATCGACACAGTATCGATTCTCCGTTTTCTAGTATCGATATTCCCCTTGGACGTTAGGGGGCAGTACAGCCGCGCCTCCACGTCTTTACTTCACTGGCGAAGAGAAGCACGCGAGAGAAGCGAAAATAGAAAACGGTAGGAAAGATTTTTCAACTGCAGACGTACGGGCGCATTGTGGTTTCAAAGCCCAAGAAAAGAGGCAGGAGATGGACAAGACCAGAGCTATTTGTATGCACTGCCAAACTGCTATCAAATATTCAGGTAATACGACCAACCTCCGAGTTCACATGCAGCGCCACCATCCCGATAAGCCTTGCCGCTCCCAAAGAAAAGCATGGACCCAAAACAACCCACTTTGCAGAGTCAAATAAGTAAACCAGCCTCCAACTCTCCGCGTGCACTTAAGATCACAGACACTATTGTGCGTTATATCTGCCAAGGTCTGTGCCCGTACAGTGTCGTGGAGAACCCAGGCTTTCGCTTCATAGTAAACACATCAACGTTACGTGATTCCCACGTGTAAACATTTGACGGAGGTGGCGATCCCGCGAATGTACCAGAGGGTGAAAGACGCAGTTAAAACCAGTTTAAGGCTGCGTTCAGACTGCAGCCTGAAGTGACCCAAATCCGATTTTTTGGCCTCTATGTGACGTGTATCTGATCTTTTAATGACAGTCTGAAGGACACAGTAGGGGTGTGCAGCAAAAATATTGGAATATCAATATATCGTATCACTTAATGTGATGATACAGTATCGATATCGTGGGCTGCTGTATCGATATAATATATGATGCAAACAAATGTTTGTGTTTCATATGAATTTTGCACAAGAAGTGGTTTAACAAAGACTTTAGTATCACAGCCATGATTTAGACTTTATTTTTTATTGAACCGTATCGAATCGATTTGATATATATCATATCAAATCTAAAGTGCACTGTATCGAGATATGTATCGTATCATGGCCTGTGTATCGAGGTATGTATGTATCGGCAACTTCTTAATGATACCCAGCCCTACGACACAGATCTGATTATTTTCAAATGTGACCCAGGACACTTGGATATGTGCTCCTAAAACCGATACATATCTGATCTTTTGACATGCGACTTCAGTCTGAACGGTCAAAGTGCATTCATCCACCTACACGTTATCAACAAGACACAAACGTCACTATTCCCCACATCCACACGTTCCTTTCAACGGACGTCGCTGCCGCTGTCCCACAAAACACCACGGCCAAAAACCTCGTCCTTCTCCTTCTCAATCTCCTCCTTAAAACAAGTTGTTCATGTTCTGGCTCCGGTACGAGAGGAACTTTAAAATCTCCAGGTGCTCGATGCTGCGTCCATGTTTGGACAACTTCTGTAAACACAGAGACGCTCGCTGCGGTTGACGTCGTCGTGTCTCCAGTGTCACATGTGGGACACTTTCGGGCCATTTAATGTTCACACTGGAGTCACATACAAGTCACATTTAACTGGAAATGTGAACGACCTCGCAAAAACATCGGATTTCACAAAAAAATTGGAATTGAGCGTTAAGCCCTGCAGTCTGAACGTAGACTAAGTGCAGCTCCAAGAGTGGCCCTTACCCACCCACCTCACCTGCACAGCATATGCAAATACGGAAGGCACAAGTGGTAAAACAGACGGTCGGAGAAGGGAGGAAGAAGACAAAGTGAGTGTAAGGCTGCTCTACCTCAGCCCACTCCTGCATCCCGCTCACAAATCCAAAGAGACGTGGAGAAAGTCTGAAGACAGGACTGGTGGAGCCGGATGCGTCTATTGTCAAAGTCGATCTTTTCAAGTCTTTTGAACCATATCACTTTTGTTTCTGGTTCTGATATTGTCATATTTTAGTTTTGAGATTCGGACATTGTAATTGTGTGGTTGTTGGTTGTTCTAACAGTGGAAAACGGCTCGAGAAACGGGCTTCGGAAGTTTGCGAACTACATAACTGCAAAAGGGAATCATATCTGTGGAGCGACAACAAAGCAGGATCCCGTTTGTTAGTCGAGAGGTGCAGAAGACAAACAGACTGAGCTGCACTTTCTTGTTCTTGTGGTTTTACAGCAACATCACGTCTTGGTCTCTTTGCAGTGGAAGGTGTTTCTTGGTGAACAGTTGCTGCCTTTTGACTTTTTAAATTCGTAACCGAGGTTGAGCGAGGGATCGGGGTTATGGTTTGTTGGTGCTCCACATACAAAATGTTCACTGCAAACACGGGATGATTTCTATTTCCTTTTTGGTCCTTCCTTTCACTATTTTTTAATTCCATTGGGAAGAGAAACTACGCAAACCCTGAGAGGCAAGAGAAAGAAAAAAAAAAAGAGGCAGGTCATTTGGGCTCTATTTTCTAAGTGTTTTTTTTTTTTTTTTTTCACCAACTCAAAAAAAAAAAAATAAAATTTCTACAAAAAAAAAAAAAAAATTCATAAAATAAAATAAAAAATTCTGTGAGCCCTACGTGTCAAGACGCACCTCAGTCCCGCTAAAACCAGAGGCAGTGCGGCGTTCTGTCTCAGCCTGGAGCAGTGATTCCCACTCTCACTCTCACAGAATGACAGCGGATCAGTGATGCATCGATCTTACTTCTCAAATTACTCATAAAAGAAAACATAAAACTCATGAAAAGACTGTATTCAGCTAGAATAAAAACACACAACCCGGACCAGGGGAGTTTTGAACCCCGACCTCCCACGTCCCAACCCAGAACCTCACGCCATAAGACAATTCTCCGGCAGTTTGCTGGAGCTGAAGTGTGGTACTTATAGAACACCACTTAGGCTCTGAGTGGTGTTTTTTTTGTTTTTTGGTTTTTTTTTCGACAGCCACATCAACAGAGAAAAAAAAACAAGAAAAAAATAAATAAATTGTAGAAAAAAAAATTGTAGAAAAAAATTTTTTTTTTTTAAAGATTTTTTTTTTTTTTTTTGAGTTGGTGAAAAAAAAAAAAAAAAAACACTTAGAAAATAGAGCCCAAATGACCTGCCTCTTTCTTTTTTTTTTTTCTCTTGCCTCTCAGAGCTTCCGTAAGAAACAGTTTGAACGGAGGTTTGCAGTCACACACATCGGATTTCCTTTTGCATTTATGGAGTTCACAAACTTCCAAAGCCCGATTTCCGTTGTTAGGATCAAACAACCACACAATAACGATGTCCGAATTAGGGATGGGCATGATTAATCGATTAATCGATAATTGATCATTAAGAATTACATCGATTACGTTAATTTTAATCGACAAACCGAATGTAGGTTGCTGTGTGTAGTGTGACCAAACAGGTGTGTACATGTGTCTCTGCATCAGAAGGAGCGAGACACAAACAGTCGGTCAGTCTGCAACGTATCGAAGCACAAATGTGTATTTAACGATGATTTATACAAGAAAATCCACGCTTTCCGTTGCGTTCGGGACAAGTGTGAGTCCATGTGCACAGTGTATAAAGCAGGAACATATGTTTCTGTGTCCAGTGGGAAAAAGTTTTACCAGGTGAGAGAAGCGCAATGTCGATGACGAGTCTCCACCTCCCTCCCCCCGTACGGTGTCCTGGTTTTGACAAAGGTAAATCTGGTCACACTAACCTGTATTCACCTGAGTCATGTCTTTTAATCCAACAGAAATTGAACCACATCAGCGACACAAGAGCTGTAGTTTTATCTTCAATTAGTTTATGCAAATTAGCGATGCGGTTTTAAGTTTTGTTTCTGTGAGAGTTGAACAAAACTGAATTAAACACATTATAATGTCAAACGGGCTGATGTGGCTCTAGAGTCGTTACGGTTTATATGTCGTAAAGTTGAATTTATTTATGCAGATTAGTAGAGCAGATAGTAATAATAATGATGATCATTTTCATATAAAAACGTTAATGATTAATCGATAACCGATCGTTAATTCTTCCGACGATCGATTAAGAAAATTTCATCGAATGCCCATCCCTAGTCCCAATCCCAAAACTAAAATATGACAATATCAGAACCAGAAACAAAAGTGATATGGTTCAAAAGACTTGAAAAAAAATCTGCTTTGTCAATAGACGCATCCCACTGGGAAAACAAACAAGGAAAGAAAGAGAAAGAGGGAGAGATGGATAAGGAGAGAAAGAGGGAGGACATGGGCAGAAAGAGGGAGAGAAAGAGGGAGACAGAGAGAAGGACAAGAGAGTAAGAGGAGTGAGAGAGAGGGATAAGGAGAGAAAAAAGAAGAGAAAGGGGGAGAAATGGATAAGGAGGGAAAGAGGGAGTGAGGGATAAGGAGAGAAAGAGGGAGAGTGGGATAAGGAGGGAAAGAGGGAGAGGGAAAGAGGGATAAGGAGAGAGAGAGGGAGAGAAGGAGGAGAGAAGGAAGGAAGGAGGGTGGGAGGGACAAAGAAGAGTGAGAGAGAGGGAGAAAGATGAGAGGACAAAGACAGAGAGAGACAGAAGAGAGAGAGATAGAGGAAGAGGAGAGAAAGAGGGAGAGAGAGACAAGGAGAAGAAGAGAGAGAGACAAAGAGAGAAAGAGGAGAGAAGGAGGAGAGACGGAGAGAAGGAAGGAAGGAGGGTGGGAGGGACAAAAAAGAGTGAGAGAGAGGGAGAAAGATAGAAAAGAGGGAGAGAAAGAGAGAGGAAGAAGGAGAGAAAGAGAGAGAGACAAGGGAGAAAGAAGGAGAGGAGAGAGGGACAAAGAGAGAAAGAGGGAGAGAAGGAGGAGAGAAGGAAGGAAGGAGGGTGGGAGGGACAAAAAAGAGTGAGAGAGAGGGAGAAAGATAGAAAAGAGGGAGAGAAAGAGAGAGGAAGAAGGAGAGAAAGAGGGACAGAGGGACAAGGAGAGAATGAAGAAGAGGAAGAGAAGGACAAGCTTTTCCACTGGGAAAACAAACATGACGATTTGATGCTCACTTTTTTTGAATAATCCTTCCCAGTATGAATCGCGAGACGACCGGAAGTGCGAAATTCGTGACGCATGTATGAGGTGTTTTTGAGCTATAAAACCACCTGTAATTGAATAAATGTACATGCAGCTTTAATTAGAAAACCATGAAATCCCGTCATATGCATTTTAAGTTCGGTGTTTCCTTGGCGCGCGTTTTCGTTTTTGTTTTTTCCCGGTGAGGTCAGATTCCTGCTAACCGCTCACTGACCTCCCACAGCTTCTTGGCCAGAGCGTCGTCTCTGCTTTTGGCCGAGCCCTGAGCCACGGAGCAGCGAGAGAAGTACCTGAAAACACAACGGACGACGGACGACGCTCAGAAAACTGGAGGGAGGTGTGACGGGCTTTTCTCATCTACTGTGTTTTATAATCATCAGTCGTGTCGTCACAAACACAACCGGAGCTGTGAGCTTCTCTAACAGGAAAAGACTCAAGAAACACGTCGGAATGAAGAGAAAACAAAGGTACAGAGGGTTAAAGTACAAGAGAGAGGGAGAGAAGAAGGAAGGAGGAGGGAGGAGGGAGGGACAAGGAAGAGTGAGAGAGAGGGAGAAAAGATAGAAAAGAGGGAGAGAAAGAGAGGAAGGAGGGAGAGAGGGATAAGGAGAGAGAGAGGGAGAGAAGACGGAGAGAGGGAGGAGAGAAGGAAGGAAGGAGGAGGGAGGGACAAGGAAGAGTGAGAGAGAGGGAGAAAGATAGAAAAGAGGGAGAGAAAGAGAGGAAGGAGGAGAGAAAGAGGGAAAAGGAAAGAAAGCGTGAGGGAGGAATAAGGAGAGAAAGAGGGAGAGAAAGAAGGAGGGAGGAACAAGAAAATAGAGAAGGAGAGAGGGTTAAGGAGAGAAAGGGCGAGAGGGACAAGGAGAGACAGAAGGGGAGAGGGACAGGGAGAGATAGAGGGAGAGAGAGATAAGGAGAGAAAGAGAGGGAGGGAGGGAGTGATAAGGAAAGAAAGAGGGAGAGAGGGACAAGGAGAGAAAGAGGGGAGAGAAGGAGGAGAGACGGAGAGAGGGAGGAGAGAAGGAAGGAAGGAGGGTGGGAGGGACAAGGAAGAGTGAGAGAGAGGGAGAAAAGATAGAAAAGAGAGAGAGGAGGAGAGAAAGAGGGAGGAAGAAAGCGTGAGGGAGGAATAAGGAGAGAAAGAGGGAAAAGGAAAGAAAGCGTGAGGGAGGAATAAGGAGAGAAAGAGGGAGAGAGAGATAAGGAGAGAAAGAGGGGTAAGAGAGTTATAAGGAGAGAAAGAGAGGGAGGGAGGGAGTGATAAGGAAAGAAAGTGGGAGAGAGGGACAAGGAGAGAAAGAGAGAGAGAAGGAGGAGAGACGGAGAGAGGGAGGAGAGAAGGAAGGAAGGAGGGTGGGAGGGACAAGGAAGAGTGAGAGAGAGGGAGAAAGATAGAAAAGAGGGAGAGAAAGAGAGAGGAACAGGAGGAGAGAAGAAGAGAGGGAGAGAGGGACAAGGAGGAGAGAGAGAGAGAGAGAGAGAGAGAAGAGGAGAGAGAGAGAGAAGGAGAGAAAGAGGGAGAAAGGAGAGAAAGAGGGAGAGAGGAGGAAAGGAGAGAGAGAGAAGAGAGGAAAAGAGGAAGAGAGAGAGAGGGAAGAGGAAAGAAGGAGGGAGGAACAAGAAAAGAAAGAGGAATAGAGGGACAAGGAGAGAAAAAAGTGAGAGGGGAGGGAGAGAGGGACAAGAGGAGAAGAAAAAGGGGAGAGAGGGAAAGGAGAGAAAGAGAGAAAGAGAGGAGAGAGAGAGAGAGAGAAGAAAGAGGGAGAGAGGGACAAGGAGAGAAAGAGGTAGTGAGGGACAAGGAGAGAGAGAGGGAGAGAAGGAGGAGAGACGAGAGAGGAGGGAGGAGAGAAGGAAGGAAGGAGGGTGGGAGGGACAAGGAAGAGTGAGAGAGAGGGAGAAAGATAGAAAAGAGGGAGAGAAGAGAGAGGAAGAAGGAAGAGAAGAGGGAGAGAGGAAAGGAGAGAAGAAGAGCGAGAGAGAGGACAAGGAGAGAAAGAGAGAGGGGATAAGGAGACAGAGGGGAGAGAGGAGAGGGATGAGGAAGAAAGAGAAAGAGGGAAGAGAAAGGAGAGAAAGAGGGAGGAGATGGGAGAAAGAGGGGACAGAGAAGAAAGGAGAAGGAGTAAGAGGAGAGTGAGAGAGAGAGAGGGAGAAAGGAGGAGAAAAAAGAAGAGAAAGGGGAGAGAAAAGGAAGAAGAGGGAGTGAGGGATAAGGAGAGTGAGAGAGAGGACAAAGAGAGAGAAAGAGGGAGAGGGAGAGAAGGGATAAGGAGAGAAAGAGGGAGAGGGAAAGAGGGAGAGAGGAGAGAGGGATAAGGAGGAGAAGAGGGAGAGAGAGAGGGAGAGGAGAGAGGAAGGAAAGAGAAAGAGGGAGAGAAGAGAGGAAAAGGAGAGAAAGAGGGAGAGAGGGATAAGGAGAGAAAGAAGGAGGGAAGAACAAGAAAAGAGAGGGAGAGAGGGACAACGAGAGAAAAAGTGAGGGGGAGGGAGGAACACAGAGAGAAAAAGGGAGAGAGGGATACTGAGAGAAGAGGGAGAGGGACAAAGAGGGATAAGAGAGAGAAAGAGAAGAGAGAGGAAAGAGGAGAGAGGGAGAGAGGGATAAGGAGAAAAAAGAGGGAAGAGAGAAAGAGGAGAGAGGTGGAGAGAAGAGGGAGAGAGGGATAGAGGAGAGGAGAGGGAGAGAGGGATAAGGAGAGAAAGAAGGAGGAAAGGAGGAAAGGAAGAGAGAGAGAGAGGGAGAGAGAAGATAGAGGAAAGAGGGAAGAGTGGGATAAGGAGAGAAAAGTGAGAGGAAGGGAGGGACACGGAGAGAAAGAGGAAGAGGGGGAGAGGAATAAGGAGAGAAAGAGGGAGGAATAAGAGAGAAGAAGAGAGGGATAAGGGAGAAAAGAAAGAGGGAGAGGGGGAAGAGAAGAGAAAAGGGATAAGGAGAGAAAGAGGGAGAGGGAAAGAGGGACAAGGAGAGAGAGAGAGGGATAAGAAGAGAAAGAGGGAGGGAGGAACAAGAAAAGAAAGAGGGACAGAGGGACAAGGAGGGAAAAAATGAGAGGGATAAGAAAAGAGGGAGAAAAAGAGAGAGAGAGGGATAAGGAGTGAAAGAAGAGAGAAGGGAGAAAAAGGGAGAGGAATAGAGGAAAGGACACAGGAGAGAGAAAGAGGGAGAGAAAAGGGAGAGCGGGACAAGGGGAGAGAGAGGAGATGTTATTACTTTGTCTGGAATGTTTCACAGTGTGGCTTTAAACCTTTCTATCGTCACGGAGACCAAACCAGGCCAAGTTACAGGTCAGATCTGTGGAGAGGCGACGCCGCTCACAGTCAGAAAGTCTGATTTTCTTTGTATTTTTGAGCTTAAAACCACCTGTAAGTGAATAAATGTAAAGTAGAGCTGTTTAAAGTCACACTGTGGGACATTCCAGGCAGAAAATAGAAACAAGCAAAAGTTACACAGTGCAACTTTAAAAGAGATAAAGTAAGAGTGTCGATGTACCGTCCACTGAGCGGCTCGAGTCCCTCCTGCAGGACACAGTGCAGCGTGGTCTGAGCGCCCCCCTCTGGATCCAGGAAGAACAACCTCGAGATCGGAGTCAGCAGAGCGTTCATCCACCACTGAGAGTTTCTACCCAGCTCCGTACGAACAACACCTGAGAGAGAGAGAGAGAGTTTCTACCCAGCTCCGTACGAACAACACCTGAGAGAGAGAGAGAGAGTTTCTACCCAGCTCCGTACGAACAACACCTGAGAGGGAGAGAGAGAGTTTTCCAGTCCGACGACAACACCTGAGACAGGAGAGAGAGAGAGTTTTCTACCAGCTCCGTACGAACAACACCTGAGACAGAGAGAGAGAGTTTCTACCCAGCTCCGTACGAACAACACCTGAGACAGAGAGAGAGAGAGACCCAGCTTCCGAGAGAGAGAGAGAGAGAGTTTCTACCCAGCTCCGTACGAACAACACCTGAGAGAGAGAGAGAGAGAGTTTCTACCCAGTCCGTAACGAACAAACACCTGAGACAGAGAGAGAGAGAGAGTCTTCTACCCAGCTCCGTACGAACAAACACCCTGAGACAGAGAGAGAGAGAGTTTCTACCCAGCTTCTAGTTTCCCCAGCTCCGTACGAACAACACCTGAGACAGAGAGAGAGAGTTTTTCTACGAACAACACCCAGCTCCGTACGACACTGAGACAGAGAGAGAGAGAAGAGCTACCCAGAGTTTCTACCCAGCTCCGTACGAACAACACCTGAGAGAGAGAGAGAGAGAGTTTCTACCCAGCTCCGTACGAACAACACCTGAGAGAGAGAGAGAGAGAGAGTTTCTACCCAGCTCCGTACGAACAACACCTGAGACAGAGAGAGAGAGTTTCTACCCAGCTCCGTACGAACAACACCTGAGACAGAGAGAGAGAGTTTCTACCCAGCTCCGTACGAACAACACCTGAGAAGAGAGAGAGAGAGTTTCTACCCAGCTCCGTACGAACAACACCTGAGACAGAGAGAGAGAGTTTCTACCCAGCTCCGTACGAACAACACCTGAGAGAGAGAGAGAGAGTTTCTACCCAGCTCCGTACGAACAACACCTGAGACAGAGAGAGAGAGAGTTTCTACCCAGCTCCGTACGAACAACACCTGAGAGAGAGAGAGAGAGTTTCTACCCAGCTCCGTACGAACAACACCTGAGAGAGAGAGAGAGAGTTTCTACCCAGCTCCGTACGAACAACACCTGAGACAGAGAGAGAGAGAGAGAGAGAGAGAGACAGAAGAGAGAGAGACAGAGAGAGAGAACAGAGAGAGAGAAGAGAGAGAGAGAGAGAGAAGCAGAGAGAGAAGAGAGAGAGAAAGGAAAGAAGAGAGAGAGAGACGGAGAGAGAGAGAGAGAGACGGAGAGAGAGAGACACAGAGAGAGGAGAGACAAAGAGAGAGATGGAGAGAGAGACACAGAGAGAAGAGGGAGAGAGAGAGAGAGAAAGACAGAGAGAGATGGAGAGAGAAGAGAAGAGAGAGAGAGACGGAGAGAAGAGAGAGACGAGAGAGAAGAAAGACAGAGAGAGAGACAGAGAGACGAGAGAGAGAGAGAGAGAGAAGAAGAAGAGACAGAGAGAGAGAGAAAGAGAGAAGAGAGAGAGAGAGAGAGGAGAGAGAAGAGAGAGAGAGAGAGAGAGAGAAAGAGAAAGACAGAGAGAGAGAGACGGAGAGACGGAGAGAGAGACGGAGAGAGAGACAGAGAGAGGGAGAGACAAAGAGAGAGATGGAAGAGAGAGACACAGAGAGGAGAGAGAGAGAGAAGAAAGAGAGAGAGAGAGAGAGAGAGAGAGAGAGAGAGAGGAGAGAGAGACGGAGAGAGAGAGAGAGAGAGAGAGAGACGGAAGAAGAGACAGAGAGAGAGAGACGAGAGAGAGAGAGAGAGATGAGAGAGAGAGAGAAGAGAGAGAGAGACGAGAGAGAGAGAGAGAGAGAGACGGAGAGAGAGAAGACAGAGAGAGAGACAGAGAGACGAGAGAGAGAGAGAGACGGAGAGAGAGAGGAGAGAGAGAGAGAGAGAGAGAGAGAGAGAGAGAGAGAGAGACAGAGAGAGAGAGAGAGAGAGAGACAGAGAGAGAGAGAGAGAGAGAGAGAGAGAGGAGAGAGAGAGAGAGAGAGAGAGAGAGAGAGAGAGAGACAGAGAGAGAGAGAGAGAGAGAGAGAGAGGGAGAGAGAGAAAGACAGAGAGAGAGAGACAGAGAGAGACGAGAGAGAGAGAGAGGAGAGGAGAGAAGAGAGAGAGAGAGAGAGAAGAGAGAGACGGAGAGAGAGGAGAGGGAGAAAGAGAGAGAGAGAGACGGAGAGAGAGAGAAAAAGACAGAGAGAGACAAGAGAGAGAGACAAAGAGACACAGAAGAGAGAAAGAAAAAGAGAGACAAAGAGAAGGAGAGGGAGAGAGAGACAGACAGAGGGAGAGACAAAGAGAGAGATGGAGAGAGAGACACAGAGAGAGACAGACAGAGAGATAGTGAAAACAGAGAGAAAGAGACAGAGAGACACAGAAAAGAGAGAGAAAGAGAGAGAGATAGTGAAACAGAGAGAAAGAGAGAGAGACACAGAAAGAAAGAGAGAGAAACACAGAGAGATACAGAAAGAGAGAAAGACACAGAGAGAGAGACACACAGAGAGAGAGAGAGAGACACAGAGAGAGACACAGAGAGAGAGAGAGACAGAGAGAGACACACAGACAGAGAGACAGAGAGAGAGAGTAAGACACAGTAGAGAGACACACGGAGAGAGAGAGACACAGAGAGAGAGAAGAAAGAGAGAGAGAGACACAGAAAGAATGAGAGAGAGAAAGACACAGAGAGAGAGACACAGAGAGAGAGAGAGACACAGAGAGAGAGACAGAGAACACACACACACAGAGAGAGACACAGAGAGAGAGACACAGAGACACACACACACACAGAGAGAGAGAGAGACACAGAGAGAAGACACACACACAGAGAGAGACACAGAGAGAGAGACACAGAGACACACACACACACAGAGAGAGAGAGAGACACAGAGAGAGACACACACACAGAGAGAGACACAGAGAGAGAGACACAGAGACACACAACACACAGACACAGAGAGAGAGAGACACAGAGAGAGACACACACACACACACAGAGAGAGACACACACACAGAGAGAGAGAGAGAGACAAAGAGAGAGAGAAAAAGACAGAGAGAGACACACAGAGAGAGAGACAGAGAGAGAAAGACACAGAGAGAGAGAAAAAGACAGAGAGAGACACACAGAGAGAGAGACAGAGAGAGAGAGAGACACAGAGAGAGAGAAAGACACACAGAGAGAGAGAAAGACACACAGAGAGAGAGAGAGAGACACAGAAGAGAGAGAGCGACACAGAGAGAGAGAAAGACACAGAAGAGAGAGAGAGACACAGAGAGAGAGAGAAAGACACAGAGAGAGAGACACACACAGAGAGAGAAAGACACAGAGAGAGAGAGACAGAGAGAGAGAGAGACAGAGAGACACAGAGAGAGAGAAAGACACAGAAGAGACAGAGAGACACAGAGCGAGAGAAAGACACAGAAGAGAGAGAGAAAGACACAGAGAGAGAGACACACAGAGAGAGAGAAAGACAAAGAAGAGAAAGAGACAGAGAGAAGAGAGAGAGAGAAAGAGGCACAGAAGAAAGAGAGACACAGAGAGAGAGACACAGAAGAGAGAGAGAGAAAGAGGCACAGAGAGAGGGAGAGACAGAGAAACAGAGAGAGACATGGGAAGAGAAAGAGAGACAGAGACACAGACAGAGAGAAAGAGAGAGACAGAGAGAGGGAGAGAAAGAGAGAGAGACAGAGACAGGAAGAGAGAGACGCAAACAGACAGAAAGAGAGACAGAAGGAAAGAAAGAAAAAGATAGAGAGAGAGAGACAGACAGACAGGAAGGGAGAGACACAAACAGACAGAAGAGAAAGACAGAAAGAAAGAAAGAGAAATACAGAGAGAGACAAATGAGAGAGGGAGAGAGAGACAGAGAGAGAGAAAGAAAGAAAGAGAAAAACAGAGACAGAAACACAAAAAGAGAAACATACACAGAAAGAAACAGAGGGACAAACAGAAAGAGAGAGAGACAGAAATAAATAAATTAAGAAATAGAGAAAGAGACACAGAGAGAGAGAGAGAAAGACAGACACAGGAAGAGAGCGACACAATCATGCAAAAAGAGAGAGAGACAGAAAGAAAGAAAGACAAACAGAGAGAAACAAAGAATAAGACGAGACACAGAGAAAGACATAAAGAAAGAGAGAAACAGAAAGAAAGAAAGAAAAACAGAGAGACACAACGAAACAGGTGAGAGACACACAGAAAGAAAGAGAAAGAGAGAGAAAAGGACAGAGGGAATATGAATATAATAATAAACACAAAAAATCTAAATTTACAAGAAAAAAAGTTTTTAAAGGGGCACTAAGTAATGCTTCTGGTGGAGGGTCTGCCACTTGCTTGTTTCCATGGAGATCGTATCGCGTGGCATGGAATGTTCCACAGTATGGCATTAACGTTATCCATACCTCACTTATCCTTACTACTGTGACTTAATGAATTGAACTGTGGAATATTCCAGGCCAAAGTGACGACGTCTCCATGGAAACAAGCAGGTAGCAGACCCTCCGCCAGTAAAGTTCCGTAGTGCGCCTTTAACCGGCTCTGTTACCGACCCGGGTGCACGCAGAAGCAGGACACGTTCGTTCCTTCGAGACGATTGGCCAGTTCTCGTGTGAAGAGCGAGTTGCAGAGTTTACTGTGGCAATAGGCCTGGAAGAACATAAGTATTTATTTATTTGGTTAAAAGGACGCAGATAATACTCCCTACAACTGTACAAAAATTCACCCTTATGCTTATGTAACAGATAATACTCTCTATGACTCACCCTTATGCAACAGATAATACTCCCTACAACTGTACAACTCACCACTATGTAACAGATATAATCCCTACAACTGTACAAAAACTCACGCTTATGTGACAGACAATACTCCCTACAACTGTACAACAACTCACCCTTATCCTTATGTAACAGATAATACTCCCTACAATGTACAACTTAACAGATAATACTCCCTACAACTGTACAAAAACTCACCCTTATGTGACAGACAATACTCCCTACAACTGTACAACAACTCACCCTTATCCGTATGCAACAGATAATACTCCCTACAACTGTACAACTCGCCACTATGTAACAGATAATACTCCCTACAACTGTACAACAACTCACCTTTATGTGACAGACAATACTCCCTACAACTGTACAACAACTCACCCTTATCCTTATGCAACAGATAATACTCCCTACAACTGTACAAAAACTCACCCTTATGTGACAGACAATACTCCCTACAACTGTACAACAACTCACCCTTATCCTTATGCAACAGATAATACTCCCTACGACTCACTCTTATGCAACAGATAATACTCCCTACAACTGTACAACTCGCCACTATGTAACAGATAATACTCCCTACAACTGTACAACTCGCCACTATGCAACAGATAATACTCCCTACAACTGTACAACTCGCCACTATGTAACAGATAATACTCCCTACAACTGTACAACTTGCCACTATGTAACAGATAATACTCCCTACAACTGTACAACAACTAACCCTTATAATACTCCCTACAACTGTACAACAACTCACCTCGCCATTATAATACTCCCTACAACTGTACAACAAATCACCTCGCCCTTGTAATACTCCCTACAACTGTACAAAAACTCACCCTTATGTAACAGATAATACTCCCTACAACTGTTATATATATATTACAGTTATTGGTACTTTACGGTGACATCAGGATGGGGGTTTTCTTCATGTATTTCTATGGTGAAATGTTTGTCAAACACCATAATGAAACAAAGACACAAGGAAAAATATAAAATTGATTTAAACCACACATTTTCTGGTTTAAATCGGTGATCAATACAAGCGTTCATGGTGCAGTTTGAAAGGCACTTCCCATAAAATATTTTGTCATTTTAACTAGGGATGTCCCGATCACCTTTTTTTGCCCCCGAGTCCGAGTCCTTTGATTTTGAGTATCTGCCGATACCGAGTCCCGATCCGATACTTCTATAAAACATTATGAAATGAACTAAGAGCAAAGAATCAGATCCAGGATGTGCGGGGATCAGATTGTGTTGATTTCATGTGTAGTATTTGGGCTGAACTTAATGTGAAAAATCAAATGTCCGAAAACTTTAATTTTATTAACTTTTCTAACCGTGAACCATCACTGTTGAAAATCTTGACTTTTCACACTCTGGTCTTGGAATGTGTAACTTATTAAACTTAATGAACTGGACAAAACAGGAACCAGACCAGAACCAGATCAGACCTGAGACTAGACTCTAGTTTGTATATTTGATATTACATGGAAGCAATAATACAAGATCTTACCAAATAAAAACGAGACGACAGAAGCCCCACAGCCTCTTTCCCGGCTGCTGCAACCACATCCACAAACCCACAGAGCACACACCACAACATCGGTCCCTCTGCTCAACAGACGCTCCACGCCGCTGGACGGACCCTCTCCGCCAAAAGCACCAGCAACATGTGTACGTGTGACGCCGCTCTCGGCCGCGAAGGTGTGAACACGGACCACAGAAGCCCAGGTAACAGCGCCCGAGCACGACACAGCCGACACAGTCACGCTGACTGGACGTCCCTGAGCAAATCCCACGCCTCAGAAAAACTGTTGTGTCCTGTGTGTTATATATGTTTATTATTTATCCGACACCTGATCGGTGCATAACATCTGAATCCACAGTCACGTGATCAGCGCCTGATTTCTGATCACGTGATCGGATCGGGACAAACCTAGTTTTTACCTGCAAGCGTTCTCGTGTAAACAGACCCTCAAACAGAAAAAAAAACACACCTACACCAAAGTTCACCTTTAGAAGAATCATTTGGATCATTTCAGCCCTGGAATTGCAAATTTCTACAGAAGCAAAAGTAAAAGGAGCTGTTCTCTTGAAAACTACAGCTTCATGACATCACAAGGTGGAACAGAGCATTTTGAGACAGACAGACTAATATTTAGGGTCCGACCGATATGGATTTTGTTGTGGCCAATATGATACCGATAAAATGGGTTTTGTGCCGATATAATCACCGATATATTTAGTGATGTAAAAATTCACTGTAAATCTTGAATTGTTTAAAACACTTAGGTTTGGCTCTAGTGGATTTTAAATTGGGTTTATTAAGGCGACATTTATTGTTGTTCTGACTTTTTACGTTATATTTACAGACAGTAGGTCAGACTAATGGCATTTTTGCATCACATTCTAGCAGCTAGTGATGAGTATTCCAGTTGTTTTTAGAGAACCGGCTCTTTTGGCTCGGCTCACTAAAAGCAGCCGGCTCTTTCGGCTCCCAAGCGCCTCTTCAGATTGTTTTGATGAAAGCAGGTCTAAAGCAGGAAAGCAGGACTAAAGCAGGACTAAAGCAGGACTAAAGCAGGACTAAAGTAGGTCTAAAGCAGGACTAAAGCAGGACTAAAGCAGGACTAAAGCAGGTCTAAAGCAGGACTAAAGCAGGACTAAAGCAGGACTAAAGCAGGACAAAAGCAGGACTAAAACAGGACTAAAGCAGGTCTAAAGCAGGACTAAAGCAGGTCTAAAGCAGGTCTAAAGCAGGTCTAAAGCAGGACAAAAGCAGGTCTAAAGCAGGTCTAAAGCAGGACTAAAGCAGGACTAAAGCAGGACTAAAGCAGGTCTAAAGCAGGTCTAAAGCAGGACTAAAGCAGGACTAAAGCAGGTCTAAAGCAGGTCTAAAGCAGATCTAAAGCAGATCTAAAGAATGTCTAAAGCAGGACTAAAGCAGGACTAAAGCAGGTCTAAAGCAGGACAAAAGCAGGTCTAAAGCAGGACTAAAGCAGGACTAAAGCAGGACTAAAGCAGGTCTAAAGCAGGACAAAAGCAGGACAAAAGCAGGTCTAAAGCAGGTCTAAAGCAGGTCTAAAGCAGGACTAAAGCAGGTCTAAAGCAGGACTAAAGCAGGACTAAAGCAGGTCTAAAGCAGATCTAAAGAATGTCTAAAGCAGGACTAAAGCAGGACTAAAGCAGGTCTAACGCAGGTCTAACGCAGGACTAAAGCAGGACTAAAGCAGGTCTAAAGCAGGACTAAAGCAGGACTAAAGCAGGAATAAAGCAGGTCTAAAGCAGGACTAAAGCAGGACTAAAGCAGGACTAAAGCAGGACTAAAGCGGATCTAAAGCAGGACTAAAGCAGGTCTAAAGCAGGACTAAAGCGGATCTAAAGCAGGACTAAAGCAGGTCTAAAGCAGGACTAAAGCAGGTCTAAAGCAGGACTAAAGCAGGACAAAAGCAGGACTAAAACAGGACTAAAGCAGGTCTAAAGCAGGTCTAAAGCAGGACTAAAGCAGGTCTAACGCAGGACTAAAGCAGGTCTAAAACAGGACTAAAGCAGAACTGAATCAGGACTGAAAAAGGACTAAACCAGGTCTAAAACAGATCTAACCCTTGTGTAAAACAGAACTAAACCAGAACTGAACCAGGACTGAGTGTCAGGACGGACTCGGTCTCTATCTCTCGCCCTCTCTCGAGCCCAAGACTAGTCCTGGTTTATTTATTTTATGCTGACTAATAGACTAATAATAAAGTGTTACTCAGACATGTTTTTTAACGTGGCTCAATGCTCACGAGAGTCAGTTCATGACCTTTAAACGAATCAAATCTTAAACTGAATTTAAATGTACAGATCTGAACCCACCATGAAGCGCGTGACCGAGTTCTCTCCTCGGACCAGGTCTTTGGTCTGGTCGAGGAGGGCGAAGTCCACGTCCCCGAAGCGGTGCAGCAGAGACGTCACGGTAACGATGCGGCTCGGGGCGCACTGCTTCAGTCTGTCCAGCAGGAGCAGCGTCAGCAGGAAGTGCCCCAAATGATTGACCCCGAACTCCATCCCAAAGCCGTCCTGAGTGCGCCCGGCACCAATCACACCTGCGCAGGGAAGAGAGGCTCCGTTTAGGCGTGAGAATGACTAAATTAAAGCTGCACTATTTAGCTTCTCTACTTGTTTCTATGGATACGTCATTGCTCTGCCTGGAATGTTCCACAGTGTGACATTAAACAGCTTTACCTTACATTTATTCAATTACAGGTGGTTTTTAAAGCTCAAAAACACCTAAAAAATTCTGACTGAGAGGTAGGGGTGTGCAAAAATATCAAAATATCAATGATACAGTATCGATATCGTGGGCTGCTCTATCGATA